AGAGGGTTGTGGGCGGCGGGCCGCCCGCCGCCTCACAGCGCTGGGTGGGCAAGGGCCTTCTTCCAGGCAGGGCAGAAACAAATAACCCTCCCCGCCCCGTAACTGGTATTAGTTTTAATAACTAAAAAAGTTTTACTTTTTTTTTTAAGTAACAGGAGTCGGTGGCACTAGGACAAAAATACCTGCTGCCCGTTAGGCTGCTCTAAGTGTCCTCCCCCCCCCAACCCCGTACAAGCAACGCTTTCGCGCTAGAGGGTAGTGGCACATGCTGAGCAATTACTGCGCTTCCGGGGCGCCTGGGACGGGGTGGCATGCGGCACCTGCAAACCAGCAGGGCAGCAAACAGGAGCGCAGAAGGGGCAGGAGCCGCACACCGCGGGGTGCCCTGCTTGCAAGGGACTTTCACGGCTGCAGCAAAGGTTTTAAATTTAGCTTTTATTACAGTGCACGTTGTTTTATATATTTTTATATATATAGAGAGAGAGATGTACTTGAAAAAAATCAAATGTATCCAATAATAAAAAATACAGCACGTTAAAGTAGTATAATGCATTCCAGTGTATAGCTGAAGAGACATTGGGATTTCAGAAAATTGTTCCGAAGTATTACACTAATCCCTACTGTATTTGAACTGAACTACTTTTTCTTTTTCTTTGTTTTCCTCTTTTTTTTCCAAAAATTCACACCAATCAATAACTGAAATAGTTATTTAAAAAGATGGATTCTGCACTCCGTCTCACGGCGTGAAGACACTGGAGGCTTCACCATGAGTTAAGGGGCTGTGTTCAATGCTGGCCGGCCCAGTGTGGCCTTTCCCCCCCGCCATACTCATAGCTCTACCTCCCCTTTCGCATTCATTACTCTTCCACCCCAAGGAGGTTCAGTCTTTCCCCTCGCTTAGTCCTCGGCCACGGCCAGGCGTGACTGCCTTCGCCATGGCAATGCAGATAGTCCCCAGCCCTTTCCTTCCCTGTGCACCTTCACCCCTGCAAGGCAGGGCTCAGCCTACAGGACTAAGCTTTAACTGGCTATCTCCAACCCCAAACGCAGCCAGCAACTGCCCTTTCCTGGGCTGAAGGTGCTTTTGGGCTCCATGCTTGCTAAAGCTCATCCCAACCCCAAACTGCCCTGTGTGTCGGTGCGCCCTAAGCGGCACCCATCAGCGATACACCCACGAGAGGATTAGCGAGAGCCTGGGGTCTTGCCTGCAGGAGCAAAACCAAACCTTTGCACCAGATATTTTTTGTTTGTTTGTTTCTAGGTTTTTTTTTGTTTTCTTCTGCTATTCTCCCAGAGGAAGGTCTGTCCGGCCCCAGCAGCACCAGCTGCAGATGGTTACACCAGTGCTGGCCTCACCGCCAGGTTGGTGGCCGAGCCCCGGCTGCAGCAGGCTCAGGGAAGGACGTAGAGGGAAGGCAGGGAGAAGGACCAGGGAGCTACATGTGTCCACTCTTCATCATGGCCATTTCACTCCGCTTTTTTGATAAAAATCTGAGGAGAGAAGGACGTAATCAGACTCAAGCAATTGCAGCACAGTACCCATGTGTGCTATGGGCAGGATTTAATTCAAGATACTGGAGAAAGGTTGATTTTAAAGAGCTTCTCCTGCTGTGGGGCCCGTTCCTCCTGCCCGACGGCTCCATCGTCTGAAGGCAACTGGGTCAGGCAGAAAGAGAAAAGCCTCAGTCCCTCGCTGCAAAATAGATGAGGGTGCCCTAGGCCCAGCTCTTGCAATTTTTCTAAGCCTGCAGCCTAGATTTACCTCGCTCAAGATGATCCACACTGGGGAGTCCGTCTGGATGGACAGCCTGATCGCCTCTAACGGCCCAAACGAGGGGTCGACTTCTCCTTCCGCAACGCCCTTGGAGAAGGAGCCTGGCAAGGAGGAGCAAAGAGGTTAAACGTGGACAGGAGCCATCACGCCTCGGGCAGCTTCTGGGTGGATAGTGCTGTTCCCCCCCCCCCCTCCCCAAACAATGAGATTTTTGTTCCCCCCCAGCTCCAAAGTCCTAGCAAGGATTTCTCAGAGCCCAAGAGCAGGAACCCCAGCACTGGGACGGTCCCTTTGCTGAGACTACCTCACTGAAAAACATCAGCTGGAAAGTGATTTCCCCTCTCTCCCCAGGCAATCAAAACTCGGGCCGTGTATATGAGTGATTGTTGTAAGCGGAAGCACAGTCTGAAAAGCAGAAACATGGCATTCAATAAAGTGCAAAAAATGCTACACTTGGAAAAGGGGGAAAATAGATAAACAATATAGAATGAGAAATATTTGGCTAGGCATCAGTGTTGGGGTGGGGGAGGGAGTGCTCGGAAACCCAAGACGACTACAGCACAGTCCTGTACGAGACCAACATCGGGTCAGGATCCATAACATGAGAGGGGCAGGTCAGCAATTACAGGTGGCAACTATTATTTCCATAACACTAGCAAGGTCTCAGCCTGTTGCTGTGCCCCATGTTGGGTGTGATTTTGAAAAAAAATGTAGCTGAAAGAAACCAGACAGCATGATGAAGAATGCTAAAAAGGCAAAAAGCTATGAATTCCAGGGACCTTTAAAAAAATGTGTCTATTAAAAAAAAAAAAAAAAGCAGTCTTTGCAGGGACACAAGGTCTTTACAATGCATCAGTGGGACACTGTAGGATGGCAATCGATTGTTCTTGTCCAAGGGCAGGACAAGCAACAAAACAAGCTCAAGTATCACGAGAAATATTTCAAGCTGTAAGTGCCGTTAAGTACTGAGACAGGTTACGGAGGAAGAGTGCAAAATTCCCCTCCTCTTGGTGGAGGTTTTCAAGAACAGGTCAAACATGTCTTTTAGGGATAATCTGAATATTTGATCCCGCCTCAGAGCAGAGACAGGCAGAAATGTAGGACCAAAAATTAAATAAAGACGACACCTACTCTAAGAAGGGAAGGAAGGCAGCGGTGCCCCATACAGGAGAGGGCAATGATTAAAATCCATTCCAGTCTGACTCCCAGCAAGCAAAACAAAACAAAAACAACAACAAAAAAATCACTTTAAGTGATTGTGCCTCTTTTCCAAGCAAATGGAAATAATGGTCTTACTCATCTGAAGCTCAGCATCTGAGGGTGCATTATCAAGACCAGCAGGCAGCTCTCCACACTGAGCCGCTAACCTACCTATCTGTATGTAGCCGTCTGATGTCCTGCGGTATTTGAAGGCTGTGCCTCTTCCCTCCTGCAAGGCTTCCTTATCCGACTGGAGGCTCTGTGGGAAAGAGAGCAGCTTTGCGCAAGGCCAGCAGCACGAGCGCACGGGCTCCCGTGGGCAGAATGGGCAGCTGGGGCACAAGGCAAACAAGAGCCACCCACAAACCCCACACAACTGCAATAACCTCAGCGCAGCCCCCGTGAGCACCCTTGGCCATTCGGAGGAGACTCGCAGCAGCCTTTGGCCTTCCACCTGGTTTTCTTCCCACTCCACCCCCACCTCAATGCTCGATCAAACACGTACGTCAAATGGCAAAACCTCCACAGTTGTATTGAAGAGTTTGTCCTCTGGGTGCTCGATGTTCCCGCTGCGGAAGAAGAACCTGTGACAGAGAACAAGGCTGCTGAAACTCAAGTGCTGGTTGAGAGGGGACAAGGTGTCTTCCACCGAGGTGAGCCATGAGACATCTCACTCTAACAGGCAACTTCCTCCTCCCAAAAGCCTATGGGTTTTGGAAGGAGACCTTCTGTGCCAGGTTAGCAAATCATGGATGGAGTGCTTGTAAGCAAAGGGCTCTGGCACACATGGGAGCAGCACACACAGAGGCAAATTATCGTCCCCTGGCAAAAGCTGCTGCTTCACAGGGTGCCAAGCAGCAACGGGGTAGGGCAAGAAATTACACAGATGGGAGAGTCGGAAGAACAAAAGGAAAGTAGCTGTGCATGCACCAGGCTCTCCCCGCCTCCTGCCAAGCCCTGGAGACACTGGCCTTTCGATGCGGAGTGGTTTGAAGAATCTGAATCTGATGAAGTCTCCTGCAGTGGGCGTGAAGGCCCAGAAGAAG